TTTCCACTCCCAGAATTCCCCAGTTAGAATGCTTTAAGATGGCTGGATTGCAACTCCCATAATCCCCTAGCCACAATGCTTTAAGATGGGTAGATTTCAACTTCCATAATCCCCCAGCTAGAATGCTTTAAGAGGGATTGACTCCAACTCCCATAATCCCCCAGCCAGAACGCTTTAAGATGGGTAGATTTCCACTCCGAGAATTCCCCAGCCCAGAATGCTTTAAGATGGCTGGACTGCAACTCCCATAATCCCCCAGCTAGAATGCTTTAAGAGGGATTGACTCCAACTCCCACAATTCCCCAGACATCACGCTTGAAGATGTGGAAACTTCAACTCCCATAATCCCCCAGCCGGCCTACTTTAAGATGGCTGGACTTGCAAATCCCAGAATCCACCCCCAGCCAGCATGCTTTAAGATGGACTCCAACTCCCAGAATTCTCTAGCTGGCACCCTTTTAAGAGGGGTGGCTATAGCTGCTCTGGGGATTCTGGGAATTGAAGTCCACCTATGTTCCAGCAGGCAAAAGGTTGAGAAGGCCAAAGTGCCCCACATCCAGGAGAACAAACCCCCCCTCCGACCAAAATAAAGCGACCCCCAATGGAAAATGAAAATACCCAAAGACCCTTCCTGACCCTCTTTACGGCTTTTGGCCTTAGAAAGGGGGAGGGGGAGAAGCCAGACGGGCGCCCCCCCCCCCCTCCCAAATTCACGGGGCACCCGAAATGTCCCGCCGAGCCATTCACGCAGCGCGCATGCGTACTTGAACGCGCAGCTTTCTCTCGCTCGCGCTCTCTCTCCCCCCCCCCCCCCCCCCCCTCTTTCCCGCTTCGTTTCCGAGCTCACCGCTGCCGCCGCGGCTCCCCTCCTGGCGCCTCGAGAGCCCGGAGGGAAGGGAGGAAGGCCCGAAGGTTGCCGTGGGAGCCGGGGGGGCCCCAGAGGCCCCATGGCGGGGGGCACCGGAAGGAAGGAGGCGACGAAGGCGACCAGGTCTCCGGCCCAGCAAGCCTTTGATTTTTTTTCCCCTCAGGCGGGCTGGCTCGCGCCTCCGCTCAAGGCCTCCATGGCGCCACTTCCGGCCCGTACCGGAAGTCACCTCGTCCTGCCCTCCCTAGCGCGCGGGGCCGGGCGGGAGGGGCGGGGGCCGGGCGAGCCGGTTGCTATGGAGACGGCCCAAGAGGCCTAACTAGGCCTCGGCCTCTTCGCTGGGCCAAGGCGGCGATGGCGCTTGAAGCAGCCGGCGTCCTCCTGCTCTGCCTGGTTCTCCCGAGCCTGGGATGCGCCGGCGACGACGGCTGGGACCCGTCCGGTTACCTGCTTTACTGCCCCTGCATGGGTGAGGCCAGGTTCAGCCGCTTCGCTCCTTTCGGGGCTGCCGTTCCTGCTGCCCCTCCGCCGGCGGGTTGAGCGGACGTCATGGAACGGGACAACTTGCCCCGACTCCCCTCGCCTTGCCCGCCAGCCCTGCACCGCCGGCTTCGGACGGGACGCCTTCCTTTGGGGGCTGAACTACAACTCCCATCATCCCCTGAGAGTCCTGCTGGCAAGGGGGGGGAGGCGGTTGAGTCGAGGTTTGGTGCAGGGGTGGCACCATGGGCCTTTTATGACTTTTGGACTGCTACCCGGAGAATTCTGGGAGTTGTAGTCCACAAGTCATAAAAGGCCCACGGTTCCCCACCCTTGCTTTAGGGTGAAGAAGACCCCAAAGAAGGGTGGTTTGTGGTCGTCTGCATCTCCATTTGTTTTATATCAAGGGTCCCCAAACTTGGCCACTTTAAGACTTGTGGACTTCAACTCCCAGAATTCTCCAGCCAGCTATGCTAGCTGGAGAATTCTGGGAGTTGAAGTCCACAAATCTTAAAGTGGCCAAGTTTGGAGACTTCTGGTTTGTGTTTTATTTAATTTGCTGGAAGAATAAAATATGTGAGGCCTACCTTGGGGGAGGGGGGGCTCCTTTCCCCACTTTACCACAGGGAAACACTTTTCTTATTTATTTGTTAAATTTATTTGCTGCCTCTCTCACTCTGGGGCTTGTCTAGGTGGCTTATTTTTAACAGGCAATCCTCGACTTTCAACAGTTCCACCTAATGACCATTCAAAGTTACAACGGCACTGAAAAAAAAGTGACTTATCGTCAGATGATCAGAATGCAAATGCTTAGTAACTGGCTCATATTTATGACGGTTGGCGTATCCTGGAGTGGTGTGATTATCTCTTCCAACCTGACAGGCAAAGCAGACTCACTTAGCAGCATGTTACTAACTTAATAATTGCAGCGATCCACTTAAGAACGGCCGCAAGAAAGGTTCTAAAATGGGGCAAAACTCATTTGACAACCGCCTTACTTAGCAGCGGAAATTTTGGGCTCAATTGTGGTTGTAAGTCGAGGACTGCTTGTATCTGTAGTTTCAGCCTTGCGGTTGAACTCGATCTTGGTGAAGGGAGAAAGCTCTTCATAAAAGCCTGTCGAGACTTAAAGCTGCCCTTCCCTTGCCCAGCAAGTCAGAAACGGTCCTTTATGTTCTGTTCCAAGGGAGATTTGGGAATCAAGCGGATCACTTCCTCGGGTCTTTGGCATTCGCTAAGATGATGAATCGGACTTTAGCTGTGCCCCCGTGGATCGAGTACCGGCATCACAGACCTCCTTACACAAATGTATGTTGTGTTATTAAATGTATATGTTGCCCATCTCATTGCAAAACATCTCTGTTAGTTGCTTGGCTAGTATTCCGAGCTTTTGATGTATTATTTATTTGATTTTTATCCCACCTTAATTATTGTTTATAAATAATTCAAAGTGGTCAGCGTACCTACTACTCCTTCCACCTATTTTCCTTGCAACCACAATCCTGTGAGATGAGACGGGTTGGGCTGAGAGAGTGACTGGTCCAATCACCCAACTGGCTTTCACGCCTAAGGTGGGACTAGAACTCACCGTCTCCTGGTGATTGGCCCAAAGTCACCCAGCTGGCTTTCATGCCTAAAGTGGCACTAGAACTCACCGTCTCCTGGTGATTGGCCCAAAGTCACCCAGCCGGCTTTCATGCCTAAGGCAGGACTAGAACTCACCATCTCCTGGTGATTGGCCCAAAGTCACCCAGCTGGCTTTCATGCCTAAGGCAGGACTAGAACTCACCAACTCCTGGTGATTGGCCCAAAGTCACCCAACTGGCTTTCACACCTGGCAGGACTAGAACTCACCGTCTCTTGGTGATTGGCTTTTGTACCTGACCTACTAGAACTCCCTGACTCCTGGTCAGCACCTTAAGTAGCTCTGATCTACCTGCAAAGATCATTGCAAGTTCCCTTTTTATTAAGACCCTAATGCTCATTTCAAGACTATGTCCAACCTGCCCATTTGTCCTCCGAATAGGAAGTGTTCGCCATTTTTTATTTAAGCACGATGTGTAATTCACTCATTATGTCTTCCGTGTACTTGTGTAAACGTGGGTTTCTTTCCATTGCAGCTACACGTCCCTTACCAAGAATACTTCAAGCTGGCCCCCCTGCTAGAATACCACCGAGTCATTAGCTTGGAGGAGTTTATGGAAAAGCTGGCGCCCTCCCACTGGCCGCCTGGCAAGAGGGTGGGCTATTGCTTTGAAGCGGCAGCCCAGAGGAGCCCTGACAAAAAGACCTGCCCGATGAAGGTAGGAGTCCCCACCCTCCACCCCTGAGGATCTGGGGGAAATTCAAGAACTTTTCTACTCAGAAACAGAAATATACAGGTAGTCCTCGGCTTACGACCACAATTGAGCCTCACCAAGTGAGAAATCGGTTAAGGGAACTTTGCCCCCCCCTTTTTTACAACTTCTCTTGAGCCACGGCTGTTAAGTGAATCACTGCAGTTGATAAGTTAGTAACACGGTTGTTGTTGTTGCTGTTTGTAAATTTTATTGGTTTTTAAAGACAAAACATAAACAAAACATCAAAACATCAAACTTTCTTCCATAAGTATACAAGCAGTGTGCCGGTTGGTTTACAAATTTTTTTGTGCATCCATTTCGTAGTCTTCAGTTACAGTTACATTGCATAATAGCTCATATTATCAATCAAAAACTGAATACCCTAGTATCATTATTAATCAATCATTTGACAATAATTTTATTCATATTTTGCGAGATAACCATAATTTACTTAGTTTATTTTATAACAATTCATATAATCCTCCCAAATCTATCCTAAAAATATTTTGTAGATATAATAAAAAAAATACATCTTTATATATTTATTATTTTCTAGAATTCTACAATTTCATTATTGTATTTTATTATCTAACCATTGATAGAAAAGGTCCCAAATTTTATAAAATTGTTTATCCTCTTGTTCTCTAATTTCAAATGTCAATCTACTCATTTCAGCACATTCCAATATTTTCTTAATGATCTCCTCCTGGGATGGTATTTTCTCATTTTTCCAGGTTTTAGCAAATACAATCCTATCCGCTGTTAATACATTTACAATCAGGTATTTCAAATCTTTGCTATATGTATCAGGTAAAATTCCCAATAAAAATATCTCTGGTTTCAAATCTATATGTTTTTTTGTCATTTTTTCCAACCACATGTGGATTTTAGTCCAGTATTTTCTAGCGTCCGCACAAGTCCACCACATATGGTAATATGAGCCAGTTGTCTGATGACATTTCCAACATTTTTCGGATTTATTCTTGAACATTCTTGCTATTCTTGTCGGGGGGGAAATGCCACCTGTAAAACATCTTATACAAATTTTCTTTATAAGCTGTTGACATTGTCATTTTATAATTTTGAGACCACAATTTTTGCCATTTCTCTAGATCAATCCCATATCCAAAATTCTTCCCCCAAGCAATCATAGTTTCTTTAACTTCTTCTTCTTCTAGTTTAGTTTCTAATAAATATCCATACAGTTTTTTAATCACCTTTTCATCAGTACCTGTCAAAATCTTATCTAAGTCAGTCAATTTATCATAGAAACCTTCTGTTTTAGAATTTTTATCATACCTTGAATGTATTTGCGCATATGAAAACCAATTCATCTTTATACCTTGTTCCTCTAGTTTTTGCATAGATTTAAGTTCACCCTTTTCGTTCAATATTTCCCCATATCTAACTGTTTGTTCCTTCTTGTATATTATAGGATAGGAAAATGCTTCAATAGTCGATAACCAGACTGGAATTTTCAAATAACATTGTCTTTTGATCTTCTCCCAATTTAACCACAGAGAGTAACATGGTTGTTAATGAATCTGGCTTCCTCCATTCACTTTGCTTGTCAAGTGGTCGCAAAAGGGGATCACTTGACCCCGGGACACTGCAACCATCATAAATTCGAGTCAGGTAGTCAATGAGGATTACCTGTATGAATTTTCAGGAGCAGGCCTACCCTCCTTTTTCTTTTCTTTTTTTCCTTTTTAATTTTTATTTCAGTTTTCCACATTTTAAAAATATCTTTTTTTTAGTGAACAACATGATTCCGGGTTTTCACATTGCCATACAAACATGACTTAGATTACATACTCATCTTTCACATTTAGTTTCATATCTTATCATATCATTACTTTACATACTTAATTTTCTCAAAATACTTTCCTCAAGCTTATTTTATAAATTTTCAATTCATTTCTTGACCTATTTCTTTTAACTTTAAATAATTCTCATATCTTCATATTCATTGTACTTTATGCTTCTGTCTGCCATGTTTACAATTTCATCGCAAATTCTTATTTCATCACTTCAAAAATTCCATCTCAATTCAAACATTTCAAAAAAAGTTTCCCTCACAATTACCAATTAGAGTGTGCCACCCCTACACCTTATATGTCATTTAATTAATTCCCCCTGAACTCAGTAATCATTTAACTTTTTAATTATCACTTTAAAAATTAATAGCAATAATCTAGCAACTCCATAACATCTATACCTTTTAAAATCAGATTCCGCATGGTACTTTCCCCTTCAATTACGTCAAAAACGTTTATAGTTTCAAAAAGAAAAAATAACCTGTTCAATTCATCATAAAAATGCCTTTTTCAACCTCCCTTGTATTTTGTTTTGCAGGACGGGAATCCCTTTGGGCCTTTCTGGGATCAATTTGGGGTGGAGTTTGATAGGTCGGAGATGTTCGGAGGCGTCTCCTTCAGCGCCTTTTACAAGGATGTCTGGAACCAAAGGTAACGACTAACTATTATTAGTGATACTACCCTTGCTTGCCTTTGCCATAGTTGTTCTATTTCCATTTGTAGGTCTTTGTATTTTGTTATCTTCTCCCGTTCTTTCTCTCCTATTCTGCTGGCACTATAGAAGAGAAAGGACTGGACTATTATCATCATCATCCTTCTCATTCTTCTCTACTACCCTCTCTCATTGGTATCCTTACTACGATTAGTATTACTCTGGTGCTTTGAATGTACACTGAGAACTCCTACACCAGAGACAATTCCCTTGGGTGTCCAATAAAGTATTCTCTATATTAAAGGTAAACCAATAGCCATGCTTCAGAGATTTCTTGTCCACTTGATTCAGATTTTCCGTCAGGCTGGCAGCTCTTTTTTCCTTTGGCCACCAAGAGAAAGGACGAATCATTAACGTTTTTATTTCTCCTAGGTTTCCCTCCTTCGAACATCCCGTTCTCGCCCTCCCGGGTGCCCCGGCGCAGTTTCCTGTCCTGGAAGAGCACCGTCCCCTGCAGCGTTACGTGGTTTGGTCCGATGAGATGGCGGAGAAAGGAGAGTTCTATATTAAGACCCTCCTGCTGAGGCCCTACGTGGGAATTCATTTGCGTGTGGGTTCAGACTGGGTATGTGACCGACGTCGAGGTTCTGTGTCCCCCACTCCACACGATTGTGTTGGTCTTTGGCTGCCACACCCCATTCCAAAGCCAGAAGATTGAATCTATAAGGAAGAGACTGGAGTGCCACTTGTCCAGAATGTTTACTTTTACTTTACTTTTACTTTACTTTTACTTTTACTTTTACTTTTTTACTTTTACTTTTTTACTTTTACTTTTTTACTTTTACTTTACTTTACTTTACTTTACTTTACTTTACTTTACTTTTACTTTACTTTTACTTTACTTTTTTACTTTACTTTACTTGACTTGACTTTACTTTTACTTTATTTTTACTTTACTTTTACTTTATTTTTACTTTACTTTTACTGTACTTTAACTTTACTTTTACTTTTCTTTACATTTACTTTACCTTTTATTGTCATTGCACCTCGTACAATGAAACCAAACACCATCTTCAGTGCACATCATGACCCTGAAAATAAACACAAACACACATCCTTCACCCTTCACATATTGAACCAAAAAACCCCTGACACCACACCAACACTGCACTATACAGCAGAATTCAAAAGAGCAACTGCCCTGGGATAGAAGCTGCTTTTCAGCCTATGTACTATAAAATGGTACTATAGAGCAGTGATAGTGAACCTTTTCGACACTGAGTGCCCAAAACGGAATGCGCATGCATGCGCACGTGCCAGAGCACCAGAAAACCGAAGACCAGCTGGCTGGTGCACGCATGCCTGTTTTTTGGCCATTTTGGAGGCTGTTTTCAGGCAGTTCTTCAGGCAGTTTTCAGGCCATTTTGGGGGGGGTGTTTGGCCTGAAAACGGCCCGAAAAACGGCCTTGTTTGGCTGGATTTTTGGCCATTTTTTGCCATTTTCAGGTTGTCTTTCTCACCAAAAGTGGCTCTGAAAACAGCCCTTAAAACAGATGGAAAATGGCCTGGAAACCAGGATGTTTTGGGGGCATTTTCTGAGCCATTTTCAGGGCGTTTTCGGGGCATTTTCAGACCATTTTTCATGCCGAAAACGTCCTGGTTTTGGGCTGTTTTTTCAGCCATTTTCCAGTGCTCCGTGTCCGCGAAGACCAGCTGCCTGGCATGCATTCCAGAAACCAGAAGAGCAGCTGGCGATGCCCACTGAGAGGGCTCCGCATGCCACCTCTGGTACGTGTGCCATAGGTTCCCCATCACTTGCCTGCCCCATTAAGTTGGCTCGTCGGAAGGTTGCGAAAGGGAATCACGTGACCAGGGGACACGGCGACCGTCATAAGCATGTGCCGGTTGCCAAGCCTCCGAATGTTGAGTGCGTGGCCAAGGGATTGCTACAACGGTTGTAAGTGTGAAAAAACGGTCATAAGTGACTATGGAGATTCTCCGTCCTTCAGGTCACGCTTGTCCCAAAGGTTCTTTTTCCAAGAGGCAACTGGACTTTCTTGTTTTTCTTTGAAGACGTTTTGCTTCTCATCCAAGAAGCTTCTTCAGCTCCGACTGGATGTTGGGGAAGGGAAGGATGTTCAGAGTTCTGCAGCATTTTCAGCACCAGAAAACTAAACAAAGCTGGCTGATGCTTCCTTTAACCTCTTTATAAACATAAGTAGATTTTACAAACCAGTTGTAGATTTCTCCAACATGGAGCAAACCCAGACAGAAACACGTTCAACAGCAACTCAGGAGCTCAGAAACAGACCTCAGTTTCACTTTAGTTCAGCAGGCAAGCAGAGGAGAGAAGCCGTTTCATCTTCAATAGACAGACTCAAAGCTCAACATAGCTGCAGAGCTTAATATAGAGCCACACCTAGGCTACTTCTAGTTTCAGTTTCCAAACGGTCCTCATTGGTTGACTTAGTTGTTATGCCTATTCATTGGCTGACCTTGTTACCATGCTCTATTCCAGCTCATGAATATACTCTGACAAACCATTTTTACTCCTTGCAGACAGCTGGTCATTTGCATCCTTTTAGAGGGTCGTTGAGGCCACCTGGAGGTTTGTCTGTGTCCTCAGGGTCACCTGAGTGCTGCAAATGGGTGTGGAGCCTCATTGGAACTGCTGAAAGGACGGTGTTGTAGACTGGAGATAGAGGATGTTGTATCCCTCCCCCTCTGTTGAGAGGGGACTGTGCAGTTTGGACATGGATGGCCTCTTGGAGCCCTCTTCCAAACCAGCGGGTCCTCTCTGTCCAAAATGTGGACTTTGCTGTCCTCAGAAGAGCGGCCTTTCCCTTTTCAACGCAGATGGACTGCTGAATCTAGTCCTGATGGAATGCAAGTATAAATCCTTCCCTTCCCCACCATCCAGTCAGAGCTGAAGAAGCTCCTTGGATGAGAAGCGAAACGTCTTCAAAGCAAAAATAATTGTTAAGCCTGGATTCCCCAACGGGTGTTAAGGAAAACAAACTAAACAGAACGTGCAGCGAAGTCAGATAGGAAGACAGGTAAATGTGTGAGATAAGTTTTTTAGTTGACACGCAGTAAAAATACAGATACGCTTGTGCTATCAAAAATATAGTTTATTCCATTTAAGAATTATAGCATAGTCAAATGTAACGGTCCATTAGACATCTATCAATTTCAGTCAAGTCTTGTCGGGGATACACTATTTGCAAAGTCCGTGTTGAATAGCCAATGTCAGTTCACTTACAATAAATCAGTCCAATCTTTATCTTCTCTTCGTTGAGAAAAATCAACACTCCTTTTTCTCTCCCCGTTCCAGCAAGAACGCAGTCATCAATCCTTCCAGTAATTAGGGATCTTCAAGCCAGAGAGAGCGAGCTGCAATTGCCTCGCTTCTTATATAGTGCTTTTACAACCACACCCTTAATTACATTCTTGCAGTTAAAGTTACACACGCTTTAACTAACAAACCATGATACCTTATTTATTATTTTTACCCAAACCAGTTAGGGTAAACAATGTTATCCCTAACAATAATAATAAGAAAGTCAACTTCCCTCTTGGAAAAAGCACCTTTGGGACATCCTTGGTCCTAGGTTGGTCCTCAGAGACCCCAGAACATAGAGGGATCTTGGAGGTCTTCTAGTCCAACTCCCAGCTTAAGCAGGGAACCCCAAGACATCTCAGAGTCGAAGAAGCTTCTCCAATGAGAAACGAAACGCCTTCAAAGAAGAAAAAAAATCAGGAAGTCCAGTTGTCCCTTGGGAGGGAAAAAAACACCTTTGGGACGGTTGTAAGTGTCTTCTGTTCTATACCATCGCAAAACGAGGTGTCGTAAGCCACGCAACTACAAAATCATTGATCCCCAAAGCCAGTAACTGACATCGATACAAGGACTATTAGCCGGTGCTGACGGTGTTATTTTCCCCTTCTTTCCGTCTCCCCTTAGAAAAACGCCTGCAGCCTGCTGAAGGAGGGCACGGCGGGGTCGCATTTAATGGCATCGCCGCAGTGTGTGGGCTACGATCGCAACTCTGCTGCGCCCCTGACCATGGAGATGTGTTTGCCGGACCTGAAAGAGATCAAGCGGGCCCTGAAACTCTGGGTGGAGAAGATGGAGGCCAAAGCCGTGTACGTGGCCACCGACTCGGAGCCCTACACCAAAGAGATTCAGCAGCTTTTCAAAGACAAGGTACCATATTTTTCGGAGTAGAAGATGCTCCGAAGTATAAGACGCACCTAGTGTCAGGATTCCAACAGTTGCCCCAATTAAATCATGAATCTCAAGCCAAACTTTCAAAACTTTAAAAGGATTTATTGGGAGTTAATATGTCTGGCACTGCCTGGGTGTAGCCAACTCTGAGGCACATCATTCATTGTCACCCTTGACCCTGGTTTCCCCCACACACACACACACACCCTGGGTGTATCATAATTCATATTCTCCAATGGGACACCTCCATAGCCCAGAGTCATCGATCAGGCTCTCCAGTTAGAATTTTGCAAGGCAGAAACTTCAGTCACCTAGTTCCTATCTTTGAAAACATTTATGGAATGCACTTTTGATTTGCAAGCTGCTGCACTGCTCCCCCCTCCCTTTCTGTTGGCCACTCTAAAAAAACCACAGAAATATTTTATGAGTTGACACCTAAGCTTTTGGGGAGGAAAACAAGGGGGGAAAAATTGCCTCTGCCTCCCAGCAATTTGCCTCCTTACAGCAAACAGCCTCTTTCAGCTTCAGCACAGTCTGATTAGCACAAGCAGCTGATTGTCGGTGTTTCAGTCTGCAGGGATCGCCATCGCCCATTGCCGCCTCCGTGCGCCCCATTTTTGGCCTCCGCATCCCATTTTCAGCCTCCACCCGCCTGGTTTTTCACCTCTGTGTACCCCATTTCCTGTCCATTCTGATCCCTGCCACCCAGAATGGGCAGAAAAGGGGGTGCACAGAAGCCGAAAATGGGGCACGCAGAGGCGCCAATAGGCGATGGCGATCCCTGCAGCCTGAAGCAGCTGATCGTCGGGAGGCCGATCCCACCGACAATCAGCTGCTTGTGCTAATCAGACTGTGCTGAAGCTTGAAAGAGGCTATTTGCTGTTTGCTGCAAGGAGGCAAGTTGGTAGGAGGCAGAGGCCAGTGGGTGGGGGCCAGTAGGTGGGCGGGGCTTTGCCAACAGTTGCTGTATAAGATGCACAGACATTTCCACCCACTTTGGGGTGGTGGTGGAAAAACTGCCTCTTCCAAAAACTATGGTAATTTCCACCTCCGATCAAAACAAATTCTGCTTGTCAGGCTAGAAACGAGCAGTGAGTTCTAGTTCCACCTTTGGCATGAAGGTTTGCTAGGTGACTTTGGGGCCAGTCACCAGGAGATGGCGAGTTCTAGTCTTGCCTTAGGCATCAAAGCTGGCAGGGTGACTTTGGGCCAATCCCTCACCCTCAGCCCAATCCACCTCACAAGTTTGTTTTTGTGGTGCAAGTGAGAGGAGGAAGATGTCTTAGATATATTGATCATTGAGTTATTTCAAAAAAAATAACAAAGGAGGGATATAAATAAATAATTTTTTTTATAAAAAAAATAACAATGTTCTGGCTGTTTTCTCCTTGCAGGTCAAAGTGGTCCATTTGCAACCCGAAGTGGCCCAGGTAGATCTCTATATCCTCGGCCAGTCCGACCATTTTATCGGCAACTGCGTCTCCTCCTTCACCGCCTTCGTGAAACGGGAGAGGGACGTGCACCGGAGGCCCTCTTCCTTTTTCGGCATGGACCACCCCCCTAAGCTGCGGGATGAATTATAACCCACGGGGGACGATGGGCTTCGAGGTCTCAGGACGCACAACTCGGCTTTGCACAAAGCCCCCCTCGGAAGCAAAGTAGCAGATTCGTCCCGGTGCCGTTTTCATTTTTTTGTCGTAGTCTGAGCTGGGAGAACAGCAGCTTCTTGGAAAATCCCACTATTTTTTTTTTTTGCCCCTGCTGTGGTTGAATCAAGGAATCCTCTGAACACATTTGACTTTCCTCCTTCCCTTTTTCACAGCCTTCTTACCTCAGAATGAATGTCTGAACTGCCGCTGCTCTTTTACCTCACAGTATTTTACAACGGCACAATCAGTATAAATCACAAAAAAATGTTCTGGACCTCAACAGGGGGAAACAAGAGGATTTAACTCACCATTGTAACTGATTAACATTTGGCAGGTTTTCCTTTACTTTTTTCCAGAACGGATTTAATCTCCATCTCCTCCGCTTGGACGAGGAAGACTCAACCTGAGTTTGCTGGGATCTATAATGTGATTTGGTACCTTCAGAACCAATTAGAAGCCTCTAATGAGGAGTGGGCTGCCAAGGACATTTTTTTTTTTTAAATGATTCAGAATAAAAGTGAGGTATTTTTGAACTGTCTACTATTTTTACAGAAATCACAGTCTTAAAAGCTGAAATAAAATCGTCTTTTCTAAAATGAAACCTTGTTTTTTACTTCGGCTAGATCCATCAACCCAGGTCTTCAGAGTTCTGAATACAGGTAGTCCTCGCAGTTGTGACCACAGTCGAGGCCAGAATTTCTGTTGCTAAGGGAAACATTGCGTTCTGCCCCATTTTACAACCGTTTTTTGGCACAGTTAAGTGAATTGTTGCCAGTGGTGGTATCCAGCCGGTTCGCACTGGTTCAAGCGAACCGGTAGCAAGGATTTGACGTGAGTTGCCAAAGACGGGTCCCCAACCACCGGGCCCCGGACCAGTACTGGTCCGTGGAACATTTTCTACCGGGCCGCTGGTTTGCTGGGCACCACCATCTTGTTTCGATGAGAAAGTGCTTCCGGTGAGCTTTTCCGGTTGGAAAGCGGTGTTTGGGTCCTGAAGGAATCCTCGCGCCTTAGTTTCATTGAAGGGGTGTGTGTGGCTTCGAACGAAACTAAGGCGCGAGGATTCTTTCAGCACCCAAGGCAAGGCGAGCCGAGCGACCGTCCCGAAGCCCATCGACAAAGGTACAAAGGAGGAGTTGAAGGTGGCGGGGAGAAGCAGGGGACGGCTGGCTGGCCGGTCGCTCGGCTCGCCTTGCCATGCGTGCTGATGCTGGTACCGGGCCGCTGATCATTTTGTGATGCCGGTACCGGGCCGTGGCACAAAAAAGGTTGGGGGCCACTGGCCAAACAGGTAGTAACTTCTGGCTGGCCCCACCCCTCCCTGCCCAGTCAGACCTTATTGTACATGCGCAACATCACTGACTGTTCTCCGCCCAGTCACTCCTTAAGGTATTTCTTCTTCTTTTCCCTCCCGATGATCAGCTGTTTTGACCATCAGTTGTGCCAGTATCCTCCTCGCTGTCTTACTGCTTTACCCAGGAGGCCTCCCTGAGGCTCAGAAGGCCCAAAATATGGGGGGGGGGGGGTTTGCTGCAAAAAAAAAAAGCCATGCCCACCCGGTCACATGGCCACGCCCACCTGGCCATGCCCACAGAACCGGTAGTAAAAAAAAATTGAATCCCATCCCTGATTGTTGCAATTCTTAAGGTTGTTAAGTGAATCTGGCTTCCTCCTTGATTTTGCTGGTCAGAAGGGTCACAAAAGGGGATCACGGGACCCTGCAACCATCATAAATACGAGTCAGTTGTCAAATGTCTGAATCTTGGTCACCTGGCCGTGGGGATGCTGCAATGGTTGTAAGTGTGAGAAAGGGTCGTTCTTTTCAGTGACTTAACTTTGAACGGTCACTAAGAGAAACTCTTGTCAGCGGAGAACTACCTGTATCTTGTTTGGAGAAGATTCCTAAGAATATTGTGGACAGCTAAGAAAATTAATGGATCATCAAAAGAAACCAACTTGGAGTTCTCGCTCGAGGCAGAAATCAAATCTAATCATTCTGTTTGTATTCTAATTCAAGTGCAAGATGTGAAGGCCCAGCTGTCTGGAGGAAGCTCCGATGCTAGGAAAGAAGGAAAGAATAACAGACTAGGGAGGGACCTTGGAGGTCTTCTAGTCCAACCCCTTGCTCAAGCAGGAGACCCTTGACCATAGTGGCTAACCTTTTTCGGCTCCGGTGCTGCTAATTGCTTTACTGGCTGGGGAATTCTGGAAGTTGAAGTCCACAAGTTTTAAAGTCAACAACTTTGAAGTCCCCTGATTTAACATGTTGTGTGAACCTGGCATTATGACTTATCAATTGACTGTCACCTTTGGTGGAAATTCACGGTAAATGTGCATATTCACTAACCTGGATTGGATTAAGCCAGGATGCAAGCTGGCTACAAAGAGTTATTTAGGGAGCTACAAAAGAGTTCTTTTCTTGTGAAAAACAGAGTTTCCATCAGCTTCCTGATTTGATAGTGGTTTGATCATGCATCTGTTCACCTGCCTTCGATTGTAGGGAAACATTCACATAATGGAAAAAGAAGGGTTAGAAAAATCAGGAAGAATGCTTTTGGGGAGAGAAGTAAATCTTACAGAATAACAGGATTGGAAAGGACCTTGGAGGTCTTCTGGTCCAACCCCGCTGCTCAGGCAGGAAACCTTATGCCTGTCATGCCCTTGGTAGAGTTGGACTCTGAAGGAGAGAAGGAACAGCCGAAGGGGAGTGGAGGTGTGGCTCCGGAGGTTGTGGAGGAGGCTGGGGAAGGGCAGAGGCCGGCTGGGCAGTGAGAGGAAGAACCAGGCCCATCCCCTCTTCAACCTAGGTTATGCAGGGAGGAGAGGAGAAGGGAGCAACGTGACTTACGGGAGAGGAAGCGGCCATGATTCCCCACACTGGTTGCAGCTGGGGAGACTAGTATATAAGAGAGCCGGTTAAAACATAGCATTGCCAGAAGCAAAGCGTGTTTTATTTTGGGCTGAAGTTATCTTGGTTGGCGTCCTTCCAACAGACTGCCTTGTTATCTCCTGGAAGTTGATAATTACTTATCCTGGTCTGTTGTGGAAATTCCTTCACTGTAGCTTGTTTTGGGTTTTTTATTTCACCTCTATCTGCTCATTAAGTTCGCACTGTATTGCTTTCTTTTAAAGACTATTTTTGAGTACGTTTTATCTCCAACTGAGAATTATTGAACAGTGGGGCCAGGTTGGAGGCATTAAAGGACATTTATTTACGTTTTGGATTGTGTTACGTTAGTGTTACACTCTGGGTCATCACAGTACCATTTCAGACAAATAGCTGTCCAGCCTCTTCTTAAAAACCTCCAGTGATGGAGCACCCACAACTTCTGGCGGGAAGTTTCTCTTTTTGATGCCCTTGTCTACCCATCCATAATGTCCAGTTTATGTCTCCATAATTTCCAGTTTATGTACCTTGGAGAGGAAGCTGAAGCTGGAAGAAGCAGAAGAAACTCTGCAGCATAGGCAAGTGGAAGCAAGACCAACCCGTGAAGTTCCAACTAAGCTGATTTATTAGTCTGTCCCACGTATTCCACTCGAGTCAACAAAGCGTTAGTACTAGGGGGTCTCTAATCTTGGCAACTTTAAGCCTGGTGGACTTCAACTCCCAGAAGCAGGCTGGGGAATTCTGGGAGTTGAAGTCCTCCAGGCTTAAAACTGCCAAGGTTGGAGACCCCTGGTTTGTACAACTTTGGTGCTAGATCAAGGTTAACAGACTTCAGTTGAGGGTGTGGGGAGATGACTTGGAGCGTTTCTGTTTACATAGCAACTCTATGATACGTCCTCTTTTCATTTGGGCCCCAGGATTTGCCAATCCTTCTACAACATCTCCCAAGGTGGGCACGTTGTAACTGCTGCTTTGATCTCGGATTTGCTGCTCCTTCCTCAGTTGTTGCAGGAGCAACTCCATCACCACGGTCTTTGCTGCAAAGAGTTAACAAGGGTTACGATCAATAGGAGGGATGTCCACGTTGGGTTCAAAAGAAAACAGCAAGAATGATGGCTCCTAATCCCATTCACCTGTGCCTTGTGTCTAACAACATGAAATTCAACGTAGAGAAAAGTAAAGTCCTACACTTAGGCAAGAAAAAACCAAAAGTCCACATATAGACTGGGTGAAACCAGGCTCAATAGCAGGAACTGTGAGGGGGATCTTGGAGTCTTAGTGGGCAACCACCTAAATAGGAGCCAATTGTGCAGCAGCAGCCAAAAAAGCCAATGCAATCCTAAATTGCATTAAAGGGGATACAATTGAGATCAAGGGAGGTACTAATACTGCTCTGTAAAGCCTTAGTAAGACCACACCTAGAGTACTGCCTCCAGTTTTGGTCACCACACTACAAAAAAGAGGTTGAGACTCTAGAAAAAGTACAGATGAGGATGATTAGGGGACTAGAGATTAAAACCTATGAAGAACGGTTGCAGGAACTGGGCCTGGCTAGTCTAGTGAAGAGAAGGACCAGGGGAGACAGGATAGCAGCCTTCCAATATTTGAAGGGCTGCCACAGAGAGGAGGAAGGGGTCAAGCTATCTTCCAAGGCACCCTTGAAGGCCAGACAAGGAATAATGGATGGAAACTGAACAAGGAGAGATTCAACCTGGAAATAAGAATTTTATTGATAGAGCAATCAACCAGTGGAACAGAAGTCGTCTTCAGAAGTTGTGGGAGCTTCATCCCTGGAATCTTTCAAGAAGAGACTGGACTGCCATCTGTCAGAAATGGTGTAGGGTTTCCTGCTTGGGTGGGGGGTTGGACTAGATGACCTACAAGGTCCCTTCCAACTCTGTTAATCTATATCCCCATTAGGTACCTTTTTTCAACCCTTGGTGCCCCGTATCACCATCAACCCTTCAACATTTGCGGCATCAACTCCCATAATCCCCTGCCAGCACTAAAGCCCAAGAAGGTCCATGTTGGGAAAGGCTGTTACACCCTAGTTCAAATTTCATGCGGTTTTCTGAACAAGAATCCTCAGAGGAGGAAGAAGGTCCAGTGATCCCAACAGTGTTTTTCAACCTCGGCCACTTTAAGATGCATGGACTTCAAAATGCTGGTTAGGGAATTCTGGGAGTTGAAGTCCATGTATCTTCAAATGGCTGAAGTTGAGTTTCCACCACATGATCTGGCCGCTACAAAGCATAATAAATCAGAATAGAGCTGGAAGGGATGATGGAGGTCCTGTAGTCCAGTGATGGAGCACCCACAACCTCTAGTGGCAAGCTGTTCCACTGGCTAATTGTCCTCAATGTTAGGAAATTTCTCCTTAACTCCAGGTTGCTTCTCTCCTGGATTAGTTTCCATCCATTGTTCCTTCTCCTGCCTTCAGGTGCTTTGGAGAATAATTTGACCCCCTCTTCTTCTTCTTTGTGGCAGCCCTTCAAATATTGAAATACTGCTATCAAGTCATCCCTAATTCATCCTTTCTCTAGACTTGCTGAACCCAAATCCTGCAACTGTTCTTCCTACGTTTCAGTCTCCAGGCCTTTGATCATCTTAGTGGCCCTCCTCTGAACTTTTTCCAAAGTCTCAACATCTTTTTCTGTAATGTGGTGACCAAAATTGGATGCAGGATTCTAGGTGTGCTAGGGCTTTATAAAGTGGTACTAATGCTTCACGAGATCGTAGCTGGAATCAGGATGTAATGACCATCACGCCAATTTTGGAAGAGCTTCATAGCTCCTGTTGCCTTAAGAAAGTTCAAAACATCCTCAAAGATCCATCTCATCCTGGGAACCCTTTTTTTTTCAACTATTACCATCTGGCAGACGGTACAGGATAATAAAAACAAGGACAAATAGGCTGAAAAACAGCTTCTATCCCAGGGCAGGAGCTCTTTTGAATTCTGCTGTATAGTGCAGTTTTGGTGCGGTGTCAGGGATTTTCGGTTCAATGTGTGGAGGGTGAAGGATGTGTGTTTGTGTTTATTTTCATGGTCATGATGTGCACTGAAGATGGTGTTTGATTTCGTTGTACGAGGTGCAATGACAATAAACTAAACTAAAACTAAATTTCACGAAGACATCACTGGCTGGTGATGCCATCATGCCTAGGATAGATCCCCATTCCTGGGATCCTTTTTGACTTAAGGCTAATAATGTTTAATGCTCGAGTCTCCATCTCTGAGGAACTCAAGGAGATATAGTACCCACCATATTCCAGCTCTTTCTGGGTTATTTTGGGTTTCGGGGTTCCCTTGAGCTTCTTTCCTATGTTTAGGTAGACCAGATGAGAAGCAAAAATTGGCAGGAAAAGAACCCACATCAACATCTTCAGGTTTAAGTGAGGCGTGCAGGTCACCGAGATTCCCTACAGTAAGACGAGAATACAGAGTGCAGGGTGTAACAGATTAACAGAGTTAGAAGGGACCTTTTAGGTCATCTAGTCCAACCTCCCCCACCCCCTGCCCAAGAAGGAGACTCTACACCATTTCTGACAGATGGGGTTCAAGAGGTCATGACAAAAAGAATAACTGTTGGTGAAATGAATGGCTCTACGAAGTTGATAACAGCTGGTCCTCAACTTAGAAATCATTCATTTAGTGACCTTTGATGTTGCAACACTGAAAAAGGTGACTTACGACCGTTTTTCACAAGAATAGAATAGAATAGAATAGAATAGAATAGAATAGAATAGAATAGAATAGAATAGAATAGAATAGAATAGAATTCTTTATTGGCCAAGTGTGACTGGACACACAAGGAATTTGTCTTTGGTGCAAATGCTCTCAGTGTACATAAAAGAAAAGAGACATTCATCAAGAATCATCAGTTACAACACTTAATGATAGTCAGAGGGTATAATAAGCAATCAAATCATACTAGGAAACAGTCAATATAAATCGTAAGGATACAAGCAACAAGGTTACAGTCATACAGTCACAAGTGGGAGGGGAGGGGTGATAAGGAGTGAGGAGAAGATTAATAGTGATAGTAATGCAGACTTTGTGAATAGTTGGACATTGTTGAGGGAAATATTTGTTTAGCAGAGTGATGGTGTTCTAGGAAAAACCGTCCTTGTGTCTAGTTGTTCTAGTGTGCTGCGCTCTATAGCATCGTTTTGAGGGTAGGAGTTGAAACAGTTTATGTCCGGGATGTCAGGAGTCTGTAGATATTTTCACAGCCCTCTTTTTGACTCATGCGGTATAAAGGTCCTCCATGGAAGGCAGGTTGGTAGCCATTGTTTTTTCTGCAGTCCTGATTCCTCTCTGGAGTCTGTGTCTGTCCTGTTGGGTTGCAGAACCAAACCAGACAGTTATAGGGGTGCAGATGACAGACTCCATCATTCCTCTGTAGAACTGGATCAGCAGCTCCTTGGGCAGTTTGAGCTTTCTGAGTTGGCGCAGAAAGAACATTCTTTGTTGTGCTTTTTTGATGTTAGGTGTCCATTTTAGGTCTTTTGATATGACGGAACCTAGAAATTTGAAGGTCTCTCCTGTTGATACTGTGTTGTCTAGTATTGTAAGAAGTGGTAGTATGGGAGGGTTTCTCCTAAAGTCTACCACCATTTCTGCGGTTTTGAGTGTGTTCAGTTCCAGATTGTTCCAGTTACACCACGAGGCAAGTTGTATAACCTCCTGTCTGTATCCGGATTCGTCGTCGTCTCAAATGAGACCAATCACTGTTTATGACCGTTGTAGCATCCCCATGGTCACGTGATTTATATTTGGATGCTTGAAAACCAACTCACATTTACGACGGAGTGTCCCATGACCTTCTGACAAGCAAATTCCATGGGGAAGCCAGATTGGCTTAACAATTGGGTTACCGACTTAACATGCTGCAGTGATTCACTTAACAACGGTGTCAAGAAAGGGGACAAAGATCACTTAAGAAACGTCTCACTTAGCAACATAAATTTTGGGCTGAATTGTGGTTGTAAGTTGAGACTACCTTTATAAACTCAAGCACAATTCTCGGTGATGACCCATCTCAACCATTATAGGTCTCAACCTTGATGCCCAGAAGTTTCAATTGGTTTAAAATGCAACGACCTCCATGGTTTTGAGTGAGTCTAGATTTGCACAGGTGTCACTTCTTTTGCAGGTGCTGCATTCGCTGCTGTATTTTCTTCTGGGTCCAGTTTAAAAGGGACACGGTGGCCCAGTGGCTAAGACGTTGAGCTTGTCAATCAGAAAGGTCGGCAGTTCAGCGGTTCGAATCCCTAGCGCCGTGTCACGGAGTGAGCTCCCGTTTCTTGTCCCAGCTTCTGCCAACGTAGCAGTTCGAAAACACATTTAAAAAATGCAAGTAGAAAAATAGGGACCACTTTGGTGGGAAGGGAACAGCACTCCGTGAGCCTTTGGCATTTAACCGTGCCAGCCACCTGACCATGGAGACGTTTTCAGACAGGGCTGGCTCTTTGGCTTTGTAACGGAGATGAGTACCACCCCTAGAGCCGGAAATGACTAGCACAGATGTGTGAGGGGAACCTTTACCTTTACCAATTGAAGGTGTCACCTTCAAAGACCTACCTGACTTCTGGCCTGATTATCTGAACCATCTTTTCCCAATTACATTTAATTCACTTATCAGAGGGGGAGGGGAGGTAGAGATGGGAGATGGAGATAGAGGTGGAGATGGAGGGGAGGGAGAGGGAGAAGAGGAAGAAGAGGAGGAGGAGGAGGAAGAGGAGGAGGAGGAGGAGGAGGAGGAGGAGGAGGAAGAAGAAGAAGAAGAAGAAGAAGAAGAAGAAGAAGAAGAAGAAGA